ACCCACCTACTTCCTCCTCTCTCTCTCTCTCTCTCTAGCTGTGGGAAAGGGAGGGCAAGATGGGAACTGACACTCTGACAGCAACCTATTTTTTCAAGGAAATGTACTGAACAAGGCTTATTTTTAAGGGACAGCATGCCTCACAATGTTTTATTCACAATTCAAGAGTCACATTTGCATTACAGTATATGATTTTTTGCAGGTTTCTTACATCAACTAATTCTTAGTATCACTATATTGGGTGCTGGCTAGATGACATTCAAAATGCAAAATAGGTGGTCACCCTAGGTACCACTCTTGCTTGGGGTGCTACAAAACATAAGGCCCTGTCTACACTGGCAAGTTTCTGTGCAGTAAAGCAGCTTTCTGCGCTGTAACTCCCGAGGTGTGCACACTGCCAAGCCACTTAATGCGCAGAAACTGCGCAGTTGTAGCGCTGTAAAAAAACCAGCCCAACGAGAGGCGTACAGCTTTCTGCGCCGGGGTTACACCCTGGTCGATTACCGCACTGCGGTTGGCCTCCAGGAGGTGTCCCACAATGCCAGTTCTTGCCTCTCTGGTCATCAGTTTGAACTCTACTGCCCTGCCCTCAGATGACCAACCGTCATCACCACTCTGAGCTGCTGGACCTCATCAGCATTTTGGGAGAGGAGGCTGTCCAGTCCCAGCTGCGCTCTAGCCGTAGGAATTATGATACCTATGAACAGATTTCACGATGCATGACAGAAAGAGGCCACGACCGGGACACACTGCAGTGCAGGGTCAAAGTGAAGAAGCTGTGGAATGCCTACCACAAGGTGAGGGAGGCACCCTTGAGCTGCCGATTCTACAAAGAGCTGAATGCGATACTTGATGGCGATCCCACCTCCACTGCAAAGACCACTGTGGATACCTTGGTAGCTCGCATGCCAGTCAAAGTAGACCAAGCCAGGAGGAGGAAATCTTGGATGAGTATGTGGCAGGGGAGAGGGACCCAAAGGCAGAGGATGACTTGGAGGTCAGAGATGCATGCAGCCAGGAGCTCTTTTCTATCCCAGAGGAGGCTAGCCAATCACAACTGTCGGATGTTGGCAAAGCGCAAACAGGCAAGGAGCCCCCTGGCAAGTGGATTTGATTTTGGGAATCGCTAAAGCAAGTTGTTAGGGGAAGGAGAGTTACAGCAAGCAGGCTTGTCTCCCACCACATGCCTAGTCTGATAAGTGGAATAGGCTGTTGATTGACTCCCTCACTTCAAAGGAATCTCCCTCAGAGATCTCCAGGAAACTCTTATGGAGATACTGGACAATCCACTGCCGCAGGTTCTTCGGCAGAGCTGCTTTGTTTCTTGCCCCATTAACGGTAACTTTCCCGTGCCACTCTGCCATTACGGGAGGCGGAGGACCATTGCTGCACACCATCTTGGAGAAGACCCTCCCTTGAGTCACTGCTGAGGGTCAGCAGCGAGATATCTTCCATAAATGATCACATCCTGTGGAAAGAGTGGGGACAGGAATGATTATCAGCCCCCCCACCCCCACCCCCAGTGCTGGCTCTCCCCAAGAGCCACGTGCCCAGTGTACAGCAGGGTCCAGGAAGAATGATTTACCCTGCCCCTGTGGCTACTCACCATTTTGGGGGTCTTGTGGCTCATGTGTGCTTGCCTGGGATCAGCTAGTTAGTGACAGGTGCGGGAAAACTGGCTGTGTTTTAAATGGCTGAATCAGTGTTGTGTGTGTTGCAAACAATACTGCTTCTGTAAAATGTTGTGTTTAAACTTCACAGAGATGACCTT